CCATCCATCCATCCATCCATCCATCCATCCATCCATCCATCCATCCATCCATCCATCCATCCATCCATCCATTCATCATTTTTTACCCGCTTCTTTTTCGGGTCATGGGATCACTGGTCCAGCAATCACTGTGCAAGAGGTGGGGGACACCATGGACAGGTCTCCAGTCCATCACAGAGATGCATAGAGACAAACGAGACAAACAACCATTCACACTCTCTCACTCACACCTAGGGACAATTTAGAGTCACCAATCAGCCTAACATGCATGTTTTTGGTCTGTGGGAGGAAACTGGAACACAGTAGTCCGTCGCTACTTCACGGTTCATTTATCGCAGACTCACTTGATCATAGTTTTTCAAAGTAAGATTGAACATGACACAATTGGCTGATTGATGGATGAGCCATGGGCTGTTTATTTAAAATAAATTATTTTAAATGAGTTTGCACCATGTGTGCAGCCCACAAGTTCAAGAGAAAGCTTCCTCCTGCAGCTGATCAGCTGATCATCTCCTCTGCCACGCACACACTTCTCCTGCCTTGGCTTTGTGAAGGTTAACCCTTTGCTGTCCAGATGAACCGATCAACTTTTGTCTTCCAACTTAACTCAAAGTATGTCACATGGTAAAATCGTCATAATCACAAAAAATAAAACTATTAAAAGTTATTTTAAATTATGTTAGAACTTCTATGTTCAATTGTTTCAGTGTAATTGATCAAGAAGTACATTTCTGCTGCGTGCTGCAGAGCTGAAGCTGTGACATCACTTGATGTCCTTCTGCTGATCAGATGAGAAGTTTTCAGGTTTTTCTCAACAGTTCCTCTTCCTTATGAGCTGGTTCATCTTCTTGTCTCCCCCAGTGAAGAAAGGCTGGCTGTTCTCTCATTTGCTCAGTTGTACTGCGTGTGGTTTTGTGATTAAATATAAATTCCGGTTGTTCAGCAGCAGACTGAGAAAACTGAAACAAAGTGAAGAACCAACAAAGTCCATGCTCAATAATCCAGGTATACAATCCAACATTTTTCAGTCAGGTCATCTGGACAGTTTCTTTATTTGTGCTGAAATGTTTCACCTTCGATCCAGAAGGCTTCATCAGAAAAAAAAAACACACACAAAAAAAGAAACTGTCCAGATGACCTGACTGAAAAAAGTTGGATTGTATACCTGGATTATTGAGCACGGACTTTGTTGTTTTCAACCAGTTTGACAAGACTGTCAACAAGGAGGAGGGCCGGTACCAAAGACACCATCTAATCACAAGCAGAGCTGGTTTGTTCCACTTTGGAGTAAGCTGTTGGGGGAAGAATCAGTTGTGTTGTGTGTTTCCTTGACTGATGAAGCCTTCTGGATGGAAGGTGAAACGTTTCAGCAAAAAAAAAAAAAAAAAAAAGAAACTGTCCAGATGACCTGTCTGAAAAATGTTGGAAAGTGAAGGACGGTCTGATGCAGCTGAATGTTTCCTGCTCTGGTTGTTGGTTTGACTCTTTGATTAAATTGTCTTATTCAAACTGACATTGTCCTGACTGCTGCAGGTAAGACATTGACTGCTTATAGGTACTCAACACAAATCTCTTCCAAATGCTTCAAGAGACTGCTCCTGCAGTACTTCAAGCCCTAAAACAAAATGGTTTGAATGAAATCTGAGGGTTTGTATTGTTTAAAGGGATTTTATTTCATGTAATTAATACATTTTATTTATTATTAGGAGTTTACTAACACACATGGTCCTGAAGTATTTTAGTCTGTCTTGCAGGGACTGTATAAATGTTTTTTGTATGATAAGTGTTTGTTGCATTAACAGGGTATCCCTAGCAGCCCAGTTCAGGAGAGTAACCCACCAGTGCAGGCCCCCACATCTGGACCCACAGAGGCACCATCTCTAGCAGAAGGTAGGACTCCACAGTCTGGTCAACATTTCTTCTCCTGTGGGACAATATGCGACCACAGTTTGTTTGGAGGGCGTCTCCTGCTCTTACACCTGCTGCCTGTGATGAGGGCTGCCTGCTGTGGACCAAAATAATCTCAGTATTGTAGGTGACTGCTGGTATAAAATATATATCAATACTTTATCTTATTTCAAATCAGCAGATTTATTATTCACTGAGCAGTGACGACATTAATCCTGTGGTTAAAGCAACCAGTCCCATCGGGTTGAGCTTCCGTCCTGCAGACCAGTCTTCAGACATGAAGCCTGGTCTGCAGGACGGCCTCGCTCTTTGATGGAACTTCATGACAAACATCAGATTCCTAAAATGTCTCCATCTTTTAGTTAGCACTTTGAACTCTTCAGCCTAAGCTAGCTAAAGAAGCTGGGGACAGGTTTATGATTGGTGCAGTGTTTCCGGTGCTTATTGTTTTGTGTCTGTTTAGGAGAAAACCCACTTGCATTCCTGCGTACGCAGCCTCAGTTCCTGCACATGAGACAGGCCATCCAGCAGAACCCGTCTCTGCTCCCGGCTCTGCTCCAACAACTGGGCCGAGAGAACCCTCAGCTCCTGCAGGTCTGTCTGCGCGTTTATTTGTTCTTCGTTGATAAATCGGGTCATATCTTTGTTTCCACTGAAGGTTACCGTAAGTTCTGGAATACTGAGCGCACCTCTATAAGCCACGCCCACTAAAGGCAGTGCTTGTCTATAAGTTGTGGGTGTCGAGTTGTAACATGAGATATTTACACAGAAAGATTTTAAAAACTTTTATTATGTTCAGTAAATGTTTTTATCTGAACAGTGCCTGTAACACGGCTGGTTGTAAAACCAGGAAGTTGTTGATCGCTATCTTCATCTTCCTCCTGCGTAAGCTTGTGCTGTGCTCTTCATCACGCAGCAGCCTTTCAAAACCTTTTCTAACCCACCCCCCCACCGAGAATAGGGTTCACAGCTCCACTGTGACCAGTTGGGTTATTTCACTGGTCAGATTTTTTTAACCTTTATGTATACAGGTAGTCTCAGTGAGTCACAAGGACCCGCCCCCCAAGAGAGACGTGTATTGGCAGCTCTGTGAGCACCCGGGTGTGACGGGGCTAAATGTTTTGGCTGCATGCAGCCTGCCCAAAATAAAAATAAAAAATATCCATGAATTATCTGCAGCGTTGTTTAAGTTGTGATGTTCAGAGTGTTTTCAAAAAGAAGCAGCTCGTAGTCCAGACATCTTGTTACTGATCCACAACGTTCCTTCTCTTAGAACATCTCTCTGGAACCTGCCACATCATCAGCTGTTTAATTTTGTGTTCTCACAGCAAATCAGTCAGCATCAGGAGCTGTTCATCCAGATGTTGAATGAGCCGTTGGGAGAGGGGGGAGACGCACCAGAGGTTGGTGAGATGGGGGCGGCAGGTGAAGAGGGAGCCCCCGTCAACTACATCCAGGTGACGCCTCAGGAGAAGGAAGCCATAGAAAGGGTGAGCTTGGTTCGCTGCGCCGACGTGCGGCTGCTTGTTGGGGTGTTAACTCTGTGTCTCTGGTCCAGTTAAAAGCGTTGGGTTTCCCCGAGGCCCTGGTCATCCAGGCCTACTTCGCCTGCGAGAAGAACGAGAACCTGGCAGCCAACTTCCTCCTCAACCAGGGACTGGAAGACGACTGAACGAGGAGCGGAGCGCTGCCTCCCCGCTCCTCCCCTCCCACCCCTCCCTCCATCCTCAGCTCGGCATAAAGACTGCACCCCCCCCACCCACAAAAAAAATAAAAAATTACTGTACAACGTCAACTCAAGGCGACAGGAGGAAGGGGCGGGGTTTCAGGGGGGCGGGATGGGGAGACGGGTGCAATTTGAAAGTGCACAAAGTGTGAAGGTTGTGTGCAGATTGTTAGTCAAAGTGTGGAAGAACTATAAATCCACGTGAATTCCAATGGAATGAGTGGGGTCCGCTTAGGGGAGAGCTATCATTTGATTTTAGACGTGCTTTGTGAACGCATGGGGAGGGAACAACCAGCGGAGGGGAGGCGGGGTGGGGGGGTGGGGGTGGGGGGGGGCTTGGGGCTCGTGTCTGCGTGTGTGAGAGTCTGTGTGTGCCTGTGCAGATGGATACAGTTAGGCTGAAAACGTAATCAATCCTGCATCCTCTAAGTTTGTTCATGCTGTAGGGCGGCTGTGGGGAGCAGAGTGTGTAACTGCTTGTGTGTACCTCTGTAAGCCTACATGTGTCCAAGAATGAAATTCAACTCCATGGACTGGACCGTGTCCCTTTCTTTGTGTCTGCGCTCATCTTTCTGACACCTTGAGGTTAAAACGGGGACTGAACTCAGTCAGCAACACAGCATTTCTTTTTTTTTTTACTCAAACCTGAAAAGATGTAGGTTACGTGTATATTTTGTGGTATTAATTACCACTACACAAAAGAAAACTACCGTAGTTCAGTCTCAGATCTGTAGTAAGTTCTGTCTCCATGCTGACAGTTTTTGTTCAACAGTGAGAAAATCAAAAGTAATGAAATAGTTTGATGCATCTCAATTTATTCCACATAATTTAGCTTTGCTCTGAGACCGTGTCAGCACGTTACTAGTTAGTACTGTTATAAAAGTATCATGAAACGTTTGCGTGGATTCTACTTCACACTTTTACACGCCCTCACAACAGAACCTCATGGAAAATCTAATAAACTGAGTCAGAGTCCGTCTGATCCCAGTTCTGATGAATCCCAACGTCGAGGGTCCTCCTCATGATTGTCTGAATTTTCAGTGTTAACTGGTCAGAACTGGCCCATCACCACTTTAAATCACAACTCCAGTCATTTTAAAGGGGCGTTTAGTGGAAAAGTTGTGAACAGTTAATATCTAAGTTGTTTTGTAGCTGCTTCTGTGAACAAACCTCAGACATGACACTAGCTAACAGTTTGATGCAGCTAAGATCAAATTGGATCACCTGTCATAAAAACAATTCCATAAAAATAAAAAAAATCACAGAATTCATTCAAACTGGATTTTAAATTGTTACGTCTTTTAGTTAAAATTACACGTTTGTTCCAGCAGAAATACATTTCTTCTTGATGTGCTACAGTTGGCCTCAACTGTCGCTTCCACTTGCAAATGAGCGTTAAAATGCCGTGTAATTACAAATCTACAGGTTGGGGTTGTAAGACGGCACAGATCTTCTTTGGTCTTCGCTGCGTTCAGAGTAGCCGTTAGCTTCTCAGTCATTCTGTTTCAAAATGTTCCGTCTCTTCCAGTTGGACAGTTAGTTATGACAAAACTGTTGAGATCTTTATCCAGTGTTTACTCCAGCCCCTGACTAAATTATACCTTTTAATTTGAGCTGAGACCAGTCCACTGAAGGCAGTAAGTTGACCATGGTTACACCTGAACACGCTGAAGTGATGGAGCTGATCTACCGTTACCTTTGTCTCCATGAGGTTATCATCGTATACAGATGACTAGCTGATGTATGTTATGAGCTGACCTGGGCCTTGTTCTCAGTTGAGCCTGCTTGGCTGTATCAGATGTTTGCCTCTGAAAATGAACTCACTGAAATCATGACACTGCAGTGTCTACAACAAATGCACGTCGTTAAAAAAATCGATATATGCAAGATTGAATTGATTATTGTTACAAACTAGCTTATAGTAGCATGGAGGAAACCAGTTTGTGATCCACTTTGTGCTGCAAATGACAGCTTTCACTGGGTTCTGTTCAAAATAACTGCTTTCTCATCCTGTACGTGTGAAGCAGTCTGATTGTCCTACAGCATCAACATGATCTTAGACTATGCTGTGCTTCATTAAATCAGCAGTCTTTCACACGTCTGACTCTGTGTCTTGATATTGCCAACTGGTAGAAGTGGGCCCCTAGTGGGGAAATAAGCTCTTGTTTTGAGCTCATCATGGATTAAAGCTTTAAAAAAGCACATTGTTTAAATGTAGAGCATTGCACAATTAAAACAGATCAGATTAAAATAATATGAACTCAAAATAAATCGGGATTCAAACTAATATTCCTTTACAGTGTTTTATTGCCAATTGTAATATGCCAATTTGGCATTAGAATAAATTGAATAATTTTATTTGGCAGACCTAAAAAAAATGGTCCTAGTCAAGGGCCAATTTTAGTCATTTAGTTCTTCCGGGAGGATGGCGCTGCTGTGCATGGTCTGCCCTCCACCTCTGTCTGCAGTGATTGTGTTTCTGTTTTTGTCATTTTTCACCTACAACATCGACTCACTGCTGGTTTATGAACGTCATCAACTCCTAAATCTCTTGACTATCTGCCACCAGTCTCGCTTTGGTTGATCATAATGATCGTAACTCTGGACGCCCCCTTGGACCCCCACCTCTGTTTGAAGACGTTCCTGTTTACCTCTGCCGTGGTATCCTGTCCGCTCCAAGATATTGCTCCATGCGCCGTGGAAAACGGGCCGGCCATCTTGTGAGGATCAAAGCCTGCCTGGCTGCTGCTGCAGCTTCCTCTTCAACCGAGGACCACATCTTAAATCACCTGTCCTGGCGCTGCGCCAATCCACCTGAGTCCTTCCCGGTCCCACGGGTCGCGCTTCCACAGCGGACCTGTTCGCCGCGGCTGGGCTTCCGGTCGTTGGAGTCGCGGGTCAAACCACAAATCTGAGACCGCTGGTCTTAACTTCATACCATACCACTTTATTTATAGAGCACTTAAAACAGCGACAAGGCCAACACCAACGTGCTGTACAGACAAAACTACAAATAACACACAAAGCAAAATACAAAATGAGGTAAATCAGAATATAGACATAAAAACGATGCAGATAATGACGACAAAGCAGTGTGTAGTATAGAGGATCAAAACACAGATCATCTGGTGTTGTTCATGGGCAACTTCTCCTGCTGTGATTCCTACAAGGATTGCACTGATAAACACCAGATCTCTGGCTAATAAAACGTTCATCTTGAATGACTTTCTCCTTCATCGGTCTGGACTTCTTCTGCGTGACTGAGACGTGGCTCTCCTGTGGTGAGTTCATGGCCATCTCGGAAATGTTACCACCGGACTGTTCTTATTTTAATGCTCCGAGAATATTAGACAAAGGTGGTGGATTATTAACTATTTTCAAAAAACGTTGGAACTGCAAACTGGTACAGATACCAGCTAATTTTTTGAGCTTTGAACTGCTGTGTTTTGAGGTGGGCCGTTCAAATCCTGTTTTTTCTGCTGTGTTATACAGGCCACCCAAATATAATAAGGACTTCATGGCTGAACTCTCTGACTTTTTAACTTCGATCTTACTCTGATATGATCAGGTTTTGATTCTGGGAGATTTCAATATACATGTCTGTTGCCCTGAAAAGCCGCTGACTCAGGACTTTCTAGATCTGATCCAGTCTCTGAACTTTGTACAGAATGTTGCAGGACCAACTCACCAGCATGGCCACACACTGGATTTAGTGTTAACCTATGGTTTATCTGTTTCTGAGTTAGAAATTGGGGATGCTGTTTTCTCCAACCACAAACCCATTTCTTTCAACATTTCTTTTGTCAACAAGTCCAAATTCCCTCCCCCTCCAGCCAGGCCTTGTCAAATATTTAACCCTTCCACTGCTGCGCTCTTTTCCTTTGCTTTTACTAAAAACTCTCAGTCTCTGAATCCTCTTCCATAAACACCCATGAGCTAGTCACTGTACATCAAGAGACCTGTGCTAAGGTGCTTGACCTAGTTGCACCGTTAGGCATCCAAAGCGCACTCCACACCCTTGGATGAATGAGATCACTCGAGCAGCCAAACGTCAATGCAGGAAAGTCGAACGTAAATGGAAGGACAAACTTCATGTTTCTTTTATCATGCTAAAATCATGTTACAAAGAGTACCAGGCCACTGTTAAATCAGAAAAAAACAAATATTTCTCCCAAATCATCGCCTCAAACAGCCACAATCCCCTCGTTCTTTTCAACACCATTGACTCCATTTTAACCGTACCTCAGTCTGCCAACTGGGAGGCCTCTGCAGTTACGTGTGACGACTTTGCCAGTTTCTTTGTTAAAAAGGTTGAGTCGATCAGGTCACTGATTCCTCCTCGTACCACAGCTGACCCCTCTGTCTTTGTCCCCTCCACATCAGTCTTTAACCAGTTTGATCCCATTTCCCTCTCATTTCTAAATGACGTCATTGGTCATATGAAACCCTCAGGTTCCCCTGCTGACCCCATCCCTGCATCGTTTTTTAAACAAGTCCTACCCTCCATTGGACCTTCTGTTCTTTACATTATAAACAGCAGTATGGCTACAGGTGTGGTTCCTGATGCTTTTAAACATGCAGTGGTAACTCCTTTAATAAAAAAAAACCCAGACTTGACCCTTCAACCTGCTCAAACTTCAGACCTATCTCAACACTTGTCTTTCTTTCTAAGATCCTGGAGAAAACAGTTTTCACTCAATTAAACGAGTTCTTGAGAAATTCTATTCTTGAGATCTTTCAGTCTGGCTTTAAGAAAATACACAGCACAGAAACGGCCTTAGTTAGGGTCTGCAACGACATTCTTCTGGCAAATGACTCTGGTCAGTCTGTAATCCTGATACTCATTGACCTTATCACTGCATTTGATACTGTGGACCACAGTATCCTTTTATCCCTGTAGATGAACATATACATGAGATATATTCATAAATTAAACGGATTCTTTCATTTTTCTGGACTGTATATAATGTGTATTGAATTTAATAAAATGTATCGTGAGACGTTAATTATCTTTGACCCATCAAAATGAATGTGGTCATTTATTAACAGAATCAAAGTTTAACACATCACACATTTACATTAATTGGCAAAATATGAAAAATAACAACATGGCTAGTTTAGCAAACTGTACAATTTTGATTATCCACACGGCGGTGGGTGAGAACTTTACACAGACATTTCTAAAATATCTGGAGTGATTTCTACTTGATAGAAGAATTTTAAAGATGGAAAATGAAGTTTAGAGGGAGAAAAAGATGGGTGAGGGGGTTTGTTTATGTCGGCACCA